ATCCTGATAACAAAAAAAGACAGAGACATCTCAAGAAAACAAAACTATAGACCAGTATCGCTTATGAATAAGACATAAAACTCCTTAACAAAATACTAGCAAACCTAATCCAGAAACATGTAAAATGGATTATACACCACGATCAAGTGGGATTTATCCGAGGAATACACAATTGTTTTAACATCTGAAAATCAATCAGTGCATTACACCATGTGAATAAATTAAAGAACAGAAATGTGATCATCTCAATAGACGCAGAAAAAACATTTGACAAAATCCAATACCCTTCGTGATAAAACACTTGACAAACTAAGAATAGAAGAGCACTGCCTCAACCAGATACAGGGCATCTGGAAACCCCCACAGCTAACATCACTCCTGATGGTGAAAGACTGGATGCTTCCTCCCTAAGATCAGGAAAGAAACGGGGTGCCTGCTCTTGCTGTGTCCATTTAACATTGCACAGGAGGTTCCAGCCAGGGCAGTTAGGCAAGAAAATGAAATAAAAGGCAGGCAGGTTAGATAAGAAATAAAAGTACCTCTGTTTGCGGAAAACATCTTGTAGATAGAAAATCCTAAGTAGTCCACAAAAAACTATTAGAGCTAATTAACAAGTCAGCAAAGTTGTAGGATAAAATTTCAGTATACAGAAATCAACTATTTCTATACATTAGCAATGAACAAGCTGAAAAAAATTAAGAAAGTCTCACTTGCAATAGCATCAAAAAGAATAAGATACTTAGGAATAAATTTAACTGAAGTATAAGATTTATACATTGAAAACTAGAAAACATTGTTGAAAGAAATTAAAGAANACTTGCAATAGCATCAAAAAGAATAAGATACTTAGGAATAAATTTAACTGAAGTATAAGATTTATACATTGAAAACTAGAAAACATTGTTGAAAGAAATTAAAGAAGACATAAACCAATGAAAAAAATCCCATGTTCACTGATTGAAAGACTTAATATTGTTAAGATGGCAATATTCCCCAAATTGACTACAGATTCAGTACAAACTGTGTCAAAACCCTGCCTGGCTTGTCAGAAATTGACAAGCTGATCCTAGAATTCTTACGGAAATTCAAGGGACCCAGAACAGCCAAAACAATCTTGAAAAAGAACAAAGTTGAAAGACTTACACTTCTTGACTTCAAAACTTACTACAAAGCTACAGAGATTGAGACTGTGTCACTGTCATAAGGGTAGACATATAGACCAATGAGAGAGAACTGGGAGTCCAGAAGTAAACACTCATTTACGGTCAGTTGATTTTTGACAAGGGTGCCAAGACCATTCAGTGGGGAAAGGATATCTTTTCACATATGGTGCTGGGACAACTGGATATCCACATGCAAAGAATGTATTTAGACCCCTACTTAACATACACGAAAATTAAAATGGATCAAAGATCTAAATGTAAAAGCTAAAACTATAAAACTCTTAGAAGAAAATATAGGAGTGTACCTTCATGACCTTGAGTTAGGGCAAGCCTTCTTAGATTTGCTACCAAAAGCACAAGGCATGGAAGAAAAAATAGATAAATTGGGCTTCATCTGGATTTAAAACTTTTATGTTTCCAAGGACACCATCAAGAAAGTGAAAAGACAACACACAGATGGGAGAAAATATTTCCAAATCATATATCTGATAAGGGACTTGTATCTAGGCTATACAGAGAACTCTTACAAGTCAGTAACAAAAAGACAACCCAGATAAAAAATGGGCAAAGGAGCTGAATAGATATTTCTCCAAAAAGATACTCAAATGGCCAAGGAACACATGAAAAGCTCTGCAGTATCATTAGCCATCAGGAAATTGTAATCAAAACCATGATAAACCATGGCTGTAATCAGATAAGTAATGACAAACGGAAACCCTCATGCACTGCTGGTGAGCGTGTATTGGGTCATCAGAAAAGTCATGACGTATTTTGTCTGTTTTTCAAAGGTGATTTATTTATATAAAGAACAAAGATCAATCAGTGATATATTGCCCGTTTTGTTCGATAACCTTTTGCCATCTTTCAGTGAGCTTCATAATTCCTCGTTCATAGAAGGACCTGTCTATTTGCAAAAAAACTGAACAAGGTGCTAATTTACAGCCTCATCTGGATTGAACATCCTATCACGCAAGGATTTTTGAAGAGAGCGAAACAAGTAGAAGTCTGACGGCGCAAGGTCCAGCGAGTATCGTGGGTGTGGCAACACATCCCATCCAAGCTCCAATAATTTTTGATGGGTGATCAAACTTGTGTGTGGTCTCGCGTTGTTGCAATGGAACACAACTACTTTACAATTAACAAGCTCTGGACTTTTCAGGGTGATGGATTCGTTCAAACT